GAATTGCACCTAGTTGTTGTGGGCTATATACGGCCGGAGGTATTGTGGCCTAGTTACTCTTATCTTTCTTTTTTCTTTCTGAAAGCACCTGCTCATATTACCGACTATTTGCAATATTACAGGCCAACTTTTCATCACTTGAAGCCTTGATAGCTAAGATTCATGAGGACAGGAAGATTGCAGAAAGAGCTCTCGAACTTCCTCAATACTTGAAGTACAAGGACGATCCATACCTTAAAATCTCTTTGCATCAGGACAATTGATCATTGAAGATTGTTGGAATTCATTGTTGTTTCTGATTGGGATTGCATCTGCCCTGTTTCCTGGTGCAGTCAGAATTATAGCAGAAGAATTTCCGTCAATTGCATGGCATTCTATATACCAAAAAAAAATATGTAATAATTGACTTTATAACTATTCAGAATAATATTAGTAGTGTTTATAAAGTGGGTTAAGCATTGTCGATGCTTAAGGGTCGAAGTGCTGTATCCTTGGACTGAGAAGTTCAAGTTATGGTGTCATCTAAGTGTCCATTTGGTTCACAAAATAGACTTACTAATGTAATTTTCTTGATTTCTGCTTATGACAGAAGTACTTGTGGTTGTGATTTTGCATTTTGAAGAAATGAGTGGACTTCACATTGAGGCATTTGCATTGTTTCCTTTTAGACACAGGTAAAACTGTTGGGAAGTATTCTTGGTTAGTTGATATAACTTGTTAATAATTTGTAAGCATGCAAGCTGGTGCATATATTAGATTGCTTCCTTTTAAGCATCAAATGACATTTCCTTGTGATCTTTCATTTCAGTCAAAGCCTTCATAGCATGAGGCTACTGACTATTCGGCCCATATTATTTTTGGTATTTTTAAACACCTCTTAAGAAAGACATTTCCTTGTCTTAATATTATCCCAGCCCAAATTCTGAATATGCTGAAATGAAGATTTTAGCACCTGTAGCTGGAGATGACCAGCCTGGTAATCACTCTTGGAAGAAAAGAACTGTAAGTCATCTCTCACTGCCAATATTTCTTGCCTATGGAGCTTTTGTGGGGGGGAATCAATTAAAATGCATGGTGTCAATAGGAGGAATCTGTTGCTCCTTATGCCACCTTTCTGGTTTGAGTGTATTGAAATTAATAAAGGAATGGGAGGTGTTGCATGTTAGAATGACAAAGTAAAAGCTAGTTGTGCGCGATGTCATTGTTTGTAATATTATGTTAAATGAATGTCCGTTGTTTGTTAAAAAGTGTCTTAGGATTTACTTAAGCTTTGAAGTTAATCAATATGACGTTCTATAAGTAGCGTAAGAGTTGCTGAATGTTGCCTCAACCACGACCAGTTTGTGCCAATAGAGCTCCCTTTTTCTATTGGAAGCAAGGCTGTGAGTGAGTCAAACCTGCTTGTGAGCTAATTAAGCCTGTCTTAGCTTATAACTGTTCAAGCTGGAGCTAGCTCAGTTGACCAAACGAGCCAATCTGTGGCACATAAATGTTCAATACGCTAAGCTTATGTATTTTTTGCTTTCTCATACTTATATTGACTATATTAACATGCTGGTTTAATCCCAATAGAGTCTTTATGCTGGAGATTTATAATACCACTGTTACCTTTCTCAAAAAAATATGCTGGTTTAACTATAAATTTCCACGGCATTTGATTTTTTTAATATGCGAGTTTAAAGGAGTGCACCATTCTTCTATTAACTATTTAAAGTAATCAATCAGTGACCAGCCTTAGATAGGAGGGTATAGAGGTCAAAGATTAGGGTAGAAGGTTTGTAGGTAGCCGAGCGTTTTCTCTTTGTCTTACTCAGTTCGCTAGCATTAGTGTTAGTATGATATCTTTTTATTCATAGATTGCTATTATTATCTAGAGTTTCACTGCATTCTTGGATTCGATCTTATTTTATCTTGCTGTTATTCTTACTTGTTGCAAGTACCTTTTTATTTTCCGCTGTTCTCTAGCTGAGGGTCTATCGGAAACCTCTCTGCCCTTCCGGGGTTAGGGGTAAGACTGCGTACATCTTACCCCCCAGACCCCACTTGTGGAAAACTACTGGATTTGTTGTTGTTGTTGTTGTAATCACCAGAGGTTTGTTTAAATTACCATTTATTGACAAATATTTTGGAATGAATGCAGTTTGTTACGACAAGTAGTAATATGGAGCTTTGCTAGTATTCTATTAGCATTTTAGTGAAGGAGCTCAAAAGTTCACTTCTTTGATGCAATTACTTGGTGACTTTGATGAGCAGCTGGAGCATTCACTAGTAAATAAAAAGCATTTTTGTTTTTGTCACTTATAACGTCATTTCTACGTCATTTCTTTTATTTAGGGGAACAATCTAATATGGAATGATTTAAAGCTAGATCTCAAATATCTTGCCTTTTATTTAGGGCCTAGGGGAATAAATCTAATATGGAATACCATCTCTTGAGACATGGCTGAAGTTACCAAAGTAGACTTTGGTACAAGAAATAATGCAATTGAGACTCTCTTAAGGGAAGTCTCATTAACTCACTATGATCAGAAATTGGATAGTGCGAAATTTGACAAACACGTTTTTTTTTATTTTATAGAAAAACGAATTGAATAATATGTTTGATTAATCAAACCTATCTCCATGGACAGATAAAAATAAATTTGCTAAGATGAATACAAAAGAGAGTAAGCATATTTGGGGAAAAAATTCAAGAGAATACTTCACAATATTTACCAAAAAAGAAAGTGCTTAAGATTTCTGGAATATCCCAAATAAACTTGTTCTTACAGAATATACAACGGACTCTATTTCTTCTATAACTCTTGCAAAGCACTTAATTGGATGACAGTCAATACGGTGAGTCAAAATTATGTAAGACTAAGTTTAAATTTTTAGTAGAGACGTAACAGAGACAATTTTTTTCTTCATATGTTTAAATCGTGACGAACAAAATAGTATTGTTGAGAGAAAGCACGTGCCAGTAAAATAGTCAAAGAGATTTAGCAGCTAAAAATTGGAACTACTAGTAAAAAGATAATAGAGATGCGCGTTAGACCACTTTCGGCGGCGGATCAACATTGAAGCTTATGGGTGGTCAAGCACCTATTGTCGAAGGCGGATTCAAGATTTAAACTTTTTGAGTTCAACCTTTAAGATTTTTAGCATTGAACCCATTATATTCCTAAAGTTATGGGTTCATATCTACTATTTGTTACAATTATAGTAGACTATTACATATTAAGTTATACTCCGCATCGAAAGTTACCGTCACCTTAATGCTACATATGCCCCTGCCTATTGTGTTTAACGAAGCTGTATATTTTTATGTTGGAAATTAGTACTAATATACAAAAATATTGATTGAACACCCATCATAGAAAGTACTAAAAATCTTCTCTCAAAAAGAGACAGACCAGAGATAATAGAGGAAGGTATTCAGTTCAAAAAAGATACGACAGTCAGAACAGCTTCAATCCAAAATTGACTAGGACAGAAGCAAACTACAAGCCTTAGCAACCGCTTTCATGCGGACCTTATGTAAAAAAGAAAAAAAAAGCGAAGAAAACAAAACACTAAGCTGTTGCGCTAACTTGCTAGCGCTGACCCCATCTGTTATCAACTGTTCACCTATTTTTCAGTATGAATCGAAATCGAGCCTAATTCTGCTCATAACTTTACAACTTGTTTGGATGTCTGTTACCCATTATATCGTATTGTATTACTATCTCAAAATAATATTGTTTTGATTGTTTAGTTAAAATTGATTGTATTGTATTGTTAAATTTATTATTCTGGAACAATGAAAAGTCCATTTTTTGAAACAACAAATTTAGTGTGGTGGGATTGTTTCCTATTTTTCTTTTCAGTTATGAGCTAACTTATTACACCATTTATTTCTATGTTAATCTTTACCTTTTTTTCGTTTTAACTCCAAATCTCTAACCTATAACTCACTTTGTCTTCGTCCCTTGTTTTTTGCGAACTCCAACATTAAAGGTAAAAAAGAATAGGTTTGCCTTCTTTTTTTTTTCCTCCTAATTTGATTTTAACTCCAATTCTAATTACTTTAATCTCCAATTAGCTACATACCATTGGTTGTTTTCAAGTGTACAAGTGCTATTATTTATCTTCTCAACTCCTTGTTTCTTTATCATCTTTCTTTTTAAAAAAAAATATAGTTAACCTTATTTTTTAATTTTTTGCTTTTGTTTTCACCTGGCAATTAAGTTAGAGTAATATTATTTATGGTATAATTGCTACAGATTTTATGAAATATGAATATTTCGTTATTTTTTGGTTAAAAGGGATGTTGTATTTATATGCTAGTTAACAAAAGGAATCACATGAGGGACATTACTGGGGTATCGCAGAGACCCCATAGTTGTAAAGTTTAGCATGATTGTGTTTAAGTTACAACCCACAAAAGATCTAACTAGTTCAGTTCCTAGGATGTCTGCGCAAAATACATCATTGACAAACATCGGAGGAACTGATAATGTCATAAATTTGTTCAAAAATATCTCCTTTGCTGCTTCCTTGGCCAATGCATCAACTACTCTGTTCTGCTCCCGGTAGATGCGCCTCACTACCACGCTGCCCATCCTTTGGATGATTGACCTGCATTCACAAATTAGAGGGTCATAAATCAGACTTCCATTCAAAAGTATATTGACTGTTTCAACTAAATCAGTGTTTATTTCCAGCGGTACTAAATGGTTTTGCTCCGCCAGTTGTAGACCCCGTATGAGGGCCTGAACATCTGCCCTTATGTTTGTTGTTTGGGGGATATTGTCCGTGTAGCCCAATATCTAGTTGCCATTGTAGTTTCTAAATATTTCCTCTGAACCTCCTATTCGTGGGTTCCCCATTACTGCTCCATCTGTATTCAGTTTGTAAGAACCTCTGGATGGAGGTTCCCATTTTAACAGGATCTGGTGAGTTACCTTTGTTGAGTCATTCTTTGTAAGCATAAGGTATTCAGTTGCTTTTGAGATTGTGATATTGGCATTGATATGTTCTTTCTTGTTATTGAATATATTGTTGTTTCTGTTTAACCAAATGTGCCACAGACAAAAGGGAATGAGGTTGTCCCAACAGATGTAGTTATTGAAAGGGACATTTTTAGAGAGTTCTATCTTGATTGCCACTGGTGGACATTGAAAACTGGAGCATTATTTGAACCATTTCCTGAGGATTTGGATAGGATTTCATTCCAGAAATGGACATCATTAGGACATTCAAAGAAAATATGGGTAATGTTTTCTTGTCCATTGTTACAGTATTGACTTTGAGGGACACAGTTGATTCCAATAGAGTGGAGAAAGCTCTTAGTTGAAAGTCTCTTATGGGTTAGGAGCCGGATGAAGTATTTGATTTTGTTGGGGGCTTGTAGCTTCCAGATCCATTTGAAGGAGCCTTCCTCCCCAGAATGGAGACTGGTTGTAGTCCTGCTTAGGAAGGAGTAAGCAGAACTATTTGAGAACTGGCCATTAGGAGTCAAATCCCATATAAGATTATCATCCTTAGTTGTAACATGGGGGATAAACACAGAGTTCAACAGGTTCAGAATACTTGGAGGAGTGTTAATGGACGAAGCTGATGTGTCCCAATTGCCCAGGTTGTGGATTGAGCTAACCTTGGCATCAAGGTCATTTTGGGTTAATGGGCCCTCAACCATCTATCTGATTGCTGGCTGATTAGGGATCCAAGTGTCATTCAAGAAACTAACCATATTTCCTTTGTGGACTACCTATCTGCTTGCTTTGTTGCATATCTCCCAGCCTTTTAGAATGCCCATCCAGGTTGGAGATTTTGGGTGTTTAGGGTGTCTAAATGCTCTAACTGGTCTAGACATGTTGCAATGTTTGTGAATGAGAACTCTAGCCCATAGACTATTGGTATTCTTATAGGTTCTCCATGCCAGATTTGTGAGGAAATCTTTGTTCTTGATACTAGCCTTTTGGAGCCCTAGCCCTCCCTCAGCCTTGGTCTTAGTGACTACCTCCCACTTGATCAGATGTAACTTCTTCCTTTCAGGGATGGTGCCCTAAAGGAAGTTTCTCTGAATTCTATCAATCTGATTGGTGATTTTGGTGGATAGATTTATGTATTGCATAACATGACTTGGGATATTGTTCAAAGAAATTTTGTCCAGGACTGTTCTCCCAGCCATGTTGAGGCATTTAGTTTTCCAACCAGCCATCTTGGATTGCATGTTATCAATAATGAATTGAAATTCTGCAGATGATTATTTTTTGTGGAGTATGGGAAATCCAAGGTATTTTCCAAAGGATGTTGTGTGCCTGATGGACAAATAATTGGCGAGATGTTGTATGGCATCTTGTGTGATTTTTGAAGAAAACAAGACTCTTGATTTGGTGAGATTGATTTTTTGTCCTGACTGCTCATTGAAGTTCTGCAATATTGAAAGAATGGTATTGCAGTTTCTGTCATTGGCTTTAGCAAAGAGGGTGAGGTCATCCGCAAAGAATAGGTGAGATATTTTGGTCTAGACCTACTTATACTTATGGTATGCCATTGGTTATGTAGTACTGCCTTATCAATAGATCTTGATAGTCTTTCCATGCACATAATGAATAGGTAGGGAGATATAGTGTCGCCCTGCCTAATGCCTCTTGAGGTTTTGAAAGACTCTGTTTTCCCCTCATTGATAAGAATGGAAATGGATGATGTACTGATACATGACATGATGAGTTTGGATAAGCCCTGGGGGAAGTTGAAAGCAGCTAGAATGTCTCTAATAAAGGACCATTCCAGCCTATCAAAGGCCTTCTCTAGGTCAATTTTTAAGATTATGTTGCCACTCTTCCCCCTCATTTTTCTGAAGTGAGTGATATATTCTTGGACAATGATGACATTGTCACAGACTCTCCTATTAGAGAGAAAGCTTGCTTGGCTTGGCTCAATGATGTGGGGCAAAATAGGCTTTATCCTGTTCACAATGTTTTTTGTGACTGACTTGTAGATGGTGTTACAAAGTCCAATGGGCCAGAATTTTTTTAGCATTGAAGCTTGGGGGAATTTAGGGATTAGGCACAATAGAGTTTGGTTTATAGTGTTATCCATAGAGCTTGTAGAGAAGCATTTTTGACAGAAGTTTGTGACAGAGTCCCCTACTATATCCCAATACTTT